ATCTTAAAAAATACACATCAGTGAAGTACAAATATTACATCACTGAGTCTTTCTGAAGGGCTCATGTCATTAAAAATATACGCTCACATTAACTAGCTGTGATTCCAAACAGTGCAGGTCCGTTTTTTCTGATCTAAAATATGATTAAGTGGTGAAGTACGCAAGGTAGCTTCATCAGAGCGATGCTGCATTAGGCTTGTCCCTGCGAACTTGTAACGCTGATGATTCACGAGATGACCAACTGATACCTCAGATGTTTGTTTCTGTATGGTCAGGCTAATAAATACGCTGCCAATTCCAACCATCAAACGGGTAAGAGGAGCTCCACAACAGACAGCATTTGCAATACATGCCTTTAGCCTCTCTGAAGCTGCAATCTATTAGCACATCCTTAAAGGTCGTGCAATGTAATAAACATTTATTTAATTTTATCGGACAGTTTTCTGTGAAAAACAGAGTCAGAGTTTATGACTAAGCAAAGAACTGTATTTAGAAACTACAGATTTACTCTGCCCTCCTCCAGAAGACATGATTTCTTTGGCTCTATGTACGACTTGAATAAACCCAGCCAATGGGGTGAGAATACTCTCCCGGCTATGCCATTCAACTGAACCATCACTATCATTGCATATGTGGGAGTACCAAAACTTAAGCCCCTAGCACTGCCAGAAATAAACAGAGGAAGTGTTCTTGACTGGAGCACTGAACATTTGTGCTATAACTGGATTATTATCACCTGAATACAACCAGGTGCTTTTTGGTGATCTGTGTCAGTGACTTGCAGGAACACACATGTAAGAAGAGCCGTGGATCTTCATCATAACATTCAGATCTGACTTCATCATCACTTACTCACCCACAACCTGAGCTTCAAAAGGCCTATGGCATTTAATCCCCTTAACAAAAATCCTGACTAGTAGAACATTTAAAGAAGGAAGGCAGATTTAAAAGAGGGTGTGTGGCCAGTCAAATAAAAGGCAAGAGTGGCAAATTAAAGCCAATTTAAAATTAATAAAGTCATCCAAATATTTACAGTGTTATCTAAGGGAGACAGATTGTGGGGCAATATGCAAATTATCTGCTCAGGCACTGCATACTAACTGATTAGGACAACTTTGATGAGCAGGCGAGCTGTGTCCCCGATCAGCATTACTCAATCAAAACAGAATGGAGCACAACAATACGGGCTCCCAGTTACAGAGGAAGTTATGCTCCACCACAGCCGTTTAAAGTCTCTGATCCGACACCCAGTTAGGTAATACGCATATTTAAATACACATGTATATATAATCAAAGGTCAGACGTAAAGCAGATAGCTGTCATTTGAGGACACACAAGACAACTTTCTAACCACACATTCCGGCTGCTGCCCCAACCAGGACAGCACAGCTAACGTACTTAACGTTAGCTCACATGGAAGTCGCCTGGTGTGAAAATCCACTTAAATATATATTTTACGAATTAACTACAAAGTCGCCGATCGGATATAGCGTGTAGCCAAGAGGAACAACAGTCAAAGAGGCTGAATTACGTAAATTTTTTACTTCGCAGTTAATAACTGTGTTCCGTCCAGGGCTTGTCACAGTGACACGTGAGCAGCAGCTATGGCAGCTCATCCAACAAGTAGCTCAGTGAGCTAGCTGACATTAGCCACACAGCAAGACATCCGTATCCTGCTGTTAAATACCTTAACCAGCACATGGCCCACATTCACTCAGCTTCACTTGGTATTTAACACACTGCCCGTGTTGCTGTGGTGTCGCGTCAGCTCTGAAATCAGCCTAAACTGCACCGAAACGGTCTGTGACGAGCTAACCATTATCTCCTCAGAAGGGTTAGCTTGTTTAGCATTAGCGACACAGCTGGCTCGAGATGTAGCTAGCGTTGACGTTGGTTACTGGCACACGAGTGTGTCATCGAGATCACAAAAATGCTCTTCGCTTGGTGCTTGTGGCTCTACAGTGGTGACGGGGGTGAGGGCGGTGGGGCCCAGCGGGCGAGTCTAGCGGGATTTAGCGCTTGATCTGTCCGGGTGAAAGCAGCGGAGCCCAGTCTGCGTGATCGCTCCATCTTGATGTTGTGAACGGCCGAGGCCCGACCCGAGACCGCGCCACAACTGCCTTCACCATTAACGGGCTAATCTCAACTTTTACCTCGTTCAGCTGTCGCTCCGCGGCCGCCCGCAGGTTGGGGTCCATCGTCCCCCGAAGGGCCTCGACCAAAGACTCAGGATCCATCACGAAAACTCTGCTTACGGCTCGGATTTTAATATCTCAGAGGTCTATCAATTCCCAGTCACTGCGCACATGGACGCACGGCTCTCCGGTTACCCGGCGCGAAAGGAAGCAGTGAATGAAGTACCCGGATAGATCAGCGCCAAATTTGTGCAACACGAACATCCGGCCTCGGTGGCGCGACTCTGGGAGTTGTAGTTTTGAGCAGAACTTTAGCACAACCTGCTCTTATTGTGTGCAGCAAATGGAAAGGGAAGGTGACCCACCTGCTGGCTGCTTTCTCTCCAAGAAAAACAAATAAATCTGGCTAATTGTGTTTCTGGTATTCTCCAGATAATCAAAGATAATTTACAATATTTCAGGTACTTGGGATTTTCAGTTTTAAAGCCGTTGATAAATCTGCAACCTCATCTGATCATAATGTGAAATATAGATATTATAGTTAGTGGTGTAAACGGACTTTCAACTGCATTAAAAAATATTACAAGGAGTAAGTAGTTTGTTTGTTTGTTTGTTTGTGGGCCTCTGTTGACTGTTGAGCTGCTGATGACGTCATTTGGTTAATTGGAAAATAATTAGGTCATTTAAGACAAGGACTGAAGAGTTATTGTCATGAATTTGCATCCTGATTTGATTAGAATCTAAAATACAGATTTTCCTACAAACGTCACTGGTGTAAAATGACCTTCAACTGAATAGGGAAACATTATAAGTGATAATTAGCGGGCCTGTAGGCCTCTGTGGACCACTGATCAGCTCATTAAATATCCTAAATGCTCAACTAAATGCTGTACAATATTGAATTAGATCAAATCAAGTCACATTTATTCATATAGCACATTTAGAACAAAAGTTGCTTTCCAGTTGAAAAAAAAAAATAAGATTAAGACCCTAAAGCATAATTTATTTATTATATGAATTTGTTTGAGTTGAGTACAGTTAAAACCCTACAAAGATCTATAACATAGAGATTGAAAAGCAGGTGGAAGTATTAAAGCAAAAGAGTGAAAAAGAAAACTCGAGTTTAGATAAGCAATTGGTACAAACCAGCAGGATGCAAAAGAAGAGTGGACATGACTAAGGCAGCTTCAGGAAGAGAAGGTGAGTGTAACAGTGAAGTGATTTAATACAGCAGCATGCTGTGACCTTGGAGTGAACAAAATGTGTCAGTCTGTTGCATTTTGTTGAAAACACAAGACATTCAGCCATATAAGCTTCATATAAACATTTTATAACAATAGTACATTTAATTGTTTGCTGAGGTTTTTTTTAAACACTTCAAATCTACTCATGTCCTAAGTTAGTACATAAAACTTATATTTTCAAACAAATAAATCCGAGATCACTCTGAAAACTCGGGCCATCATGTTTTTTTCTTTTATTATTTCATAGTCTTTTATAACCACCAAGGTCTGAAGTCAATGACGGCTGCACGTCCTCCAGAGAAAGCAGCCGTCCGTCTTTCCATTTCTTTATAAAAAGAACGTTTTGTTCCTGCAATGCTATACATTTTAAAATAATGTCCTTAAGGAAAGCAGCACATATTTATCATTTAGCTTTCTGAAAGACAGGTGTCACCATGAAAAGTGCTTCACAATTTGTCCTTCAAGTGAGCAGGTCGTTTTAAAAAAACAGAGATTTGCATACATGCATAATGAGATCAAGATGAACAGCTTCACGCGATGACGACCAAAATCTAGTAAACAATACTCATGTTGTCATGTTTAGATTTAAATGTACTTCTGGAAAACACAGAGGATAGCCATACCATAGATATAAATAATAAAGACCTTTATTGTACACATCTATGAGCCATGCAGCCACATGCAGTGTTTGTAGCTGAATTAAAGGTGTATTATCGTGTAAGAAGCATTTAAAGTAGGAAGAGGTGAAGCTACCTGTGTTTGCAGTGTAAGGTGGTTTAATGTGTAGCTATCTTATCTCTTCATTTCTGTCTGTAACACTGATATATAAAGTAAAAACAGTGATACAGATGCTATCAGATATGTAAAAAAAAAAAAAAAAGTATTTTTCACTCAGAGAAGCAGCAAAATAGGAAAATAAACTGGTATAAAATGGAAGGTACTTCAAGACTGTACTCAAATCAAATAGCTAGGTCATTTTCATTAATAAAAAAAACAAAAACAAAAACAAAAACACTTCCAGCACCAGAAATATACAGTCATCCTCAAATGTATTCATACCCTCCCATTAAAGAAGGAAAAAACAGCTTTCACTGAAATAAGTTGAAATTGACAAAAATAATCATCACGTTGCTTTTGAATTGTGGTTCAACAGAAATATTTACAACAAAAAAAACAAAAAAAACAAGCAAACAAGCATGATGGGACCCCTGCACTAATATTGAGTTGAACAACCCTTTGAGCCAATCACTGCCATCAGGTGTTTTCTGTAACTCTCCATCAGACTTCTGCACCTGTTGACAGGTATTCTGACTTCACTGCTCATCAGCAAAGTGCTCAAATTTGTCCTTGACAGTTTTTTTTTTTTTTTTTTTTTTATTCTTTCAACCACAATTCAAAAGCAATGTCTTATTTCACTAAATTATAATTTATCAAATTTTTATTTATTATTACTTTTTTCAGTTTCTAGTTATTTGAATGACTACTGTGAATTGTAATGGAAGGGTGTAAACACATTTGAGGACCTTCCAGTGTTCTGAGTTCCGGTGTTGAACCGTCAGTGCGCGCGGACGCTGTGCTGCAGCTGGGGGCGCTGCTGCGGACGACGCTCGCTGCTGGATGTGAAGGTAAAAGGTCAGCCTGAGTAACGTGTCAGCAGGCTGTCACCGCACCGGTGTCACTCCACCCGCCGGCTGCCGCTGTAAGACACCGCAACCGACCTCAACCTTATTCCAGAAACATTTGCAACCCCCTCCAGAAAGAAAAATGGCCAAGAAGCGGAGAGAAACGCGAGAGACGGACGGTTTGCTGTCGGCGCAGGAGGAGGTGAAGGCGAATGCTAACGTCTCTCAGGCACTGAAAGGTAGGTTCACGGCGGCGAGCTGTTAACCCGGAGCGAGAGAAAAGCAGGTGTTTGTTCTCGGCAAAGACAGATTAGGCAATATGACGAACTTTGGCAACGTCCTGTTCAGTTTGAGGTCTGGCCGAATTACGGAACCGGAGCTAATGTTAGCCGGAGCCAGCTAGCTAAAATTAGCCCTCTGCGACTTGGATAGCTAGCTCTGTAGCATGAGAGCTAATGAAAAACAAAGTTAGCTAAAAACGTACCGAAATCCTTTGTGACTGAGTGAATCGGAGTAGTTGATATATTTATTTCACCCGACCGTTAAAACAAGAGCTAAACCTCAAATGTCTGAATGGTTTTTTTGTTAGCTTGATAAGATAAAGGTTTGCTCAACAAAGGCTGCCCAACGGTGGAGGAAGCCTTCAGCTTAGAAATAAAAGCAGCAAAACTACTCCCTGAAAGTCTAATCTAATGACTGTACTGTCACCAAAATATACTTAAAGTAACTTGGACTAGTTATTACTGATGCATAATAGGTAATTACCATGCTACTAAGTAAAATATTACTTTTAATTAACATTGCACTCATACTTTACTTGTAAAGTAGCTGCTACCTACAGGCAGTAGAACAAGAAGTACAATATTTACCTCTAAAACGTAAAGGAATGAATCTGTAACATGTCAAAAAAATTGAAATACACTAAAAGTAAATGTACTTATATACATTTTACCAGTGCCACTGATATATCAGCAAGATGGGACTAAAACTGAGCAAGAATGATAGGAATTATCATAATTTGAATATCCTATTATTTTACCCCAATCAAAGGTACAGCATTTACAAACAGACACATTTTTTGAAGACAAAACTACAACCAATAAACAAAGCTGTCCATTATTGGTGCCTAATGTTAGACCATCATCATCTCCCACAGCCCATTTCAGAATATATATAGTTTATTTTTAAGCAGTCTAGTAATAAACTGGTAATTCTTCTGATGTCTTTGTAATAGAGTGATCCTATTACCTGATTATGTCCAATTCGAACCAGGAGCTTGAGAAGTATTTCTGATTGTTGGCAGCACTGGGATGAATAAGCATGCTTGAATTGCACATGTGCAGCCCTAATTACTATGTCAATTTGTTAATCAGTTGTAATTAATGTTAGTCATCTGTAGTTTGCCTCCGGCCGCCTGGTTTATCTACCTGGTTTTATGTTCTGTAGTTTGTTTAAATAAAAAAAACAAAAAAACAAAACACAAGCTGTGAAAATATAAAGATTTTTACTTCAGTACAACATACCGTCTTTACAGTTCCTTTCCTTTTCCATAAAGTGTTGAAAACAAAATTAAACAGACTGTCTCCGAGAAGGCAAGAGTCTTTCTCACGGGGGAGACCCAGTTCCCTGCAGTGCCTTGATCAAGTGATGCAAAACACACAAGCAAATTACATAAGACTCGCTGCTGGCTAGTCTATTTGCTTTTATGAAAAACTCTCCATTTATTAGGTAAATAACTCAATTTTCTGTCCACGCAGAGGCTCAACAGAGTGTCGGGGGCTCAGCACGCATGTCTCTGCTGATTCTGGTGTCCATCTTTGCCTGCTCTGCCTCAGTCATGTACCTGGTCTACAGGAACTTCCCTGAGCTTCCCGAGTAAGTTGTTTTGTTCATATTAAACTTGATTAAATGTAAGGAGGGGACTGGACAATGACCATCTTTGGAAATCCAGACTTATTGTTTGTTCACAAATTGTATGTTTTAACATGTGTTACACTAAAAAAATTAAATAACCTTTTTTAGCAGCTTCAGAAGGATTTACACATAATACAGTAACATCAGTATGAATTATCTGGTTTGTTTGTTTTAATACAAAGTGCAGGAATGACAGCTGTAACCTGGTATAGTTCTTTTTCCACTGTAATAGGTCCAGTTCAGCTGTTTCCCTAGAGGGGGATACATTACTTGTGACATTGAGTAGCAGCAAGGCCAGAAAACTATGTGACGATGTTACACCTAAATGTACATACAGACGTGTAAAGGACATTTACACGACAGGTTGTGTTATAGTTTAATCCTGAAAGCAAACTACTTTTGGTCCTCCTAAAGAACAGCTAGGTTTGCTTGTAACACAAATAGCAGGAATAACACAATTATTGAGTTGATTATTACACAGATAGAAACCAGATAACGACTAAAATGATTATTTCATCCATATGTCATTGAAAACAAGTACATTTTTGGCTGGCTTAGCTTCTCTAAAACTTTAAGAAGGTGTTCTCGACCTGAGAACACATGAGCCCTCCACTCTGAGCACTCAGGGTTATGTTAGAGGGCATTCACTACTTTGAAGTACAGAAGGCCTTGGCTGCATTTGTAATGTCTTCTCTGTGAAAAAGTCAATCCTGAAGTTAATGGGTAACCAAACAAAGAAGTAGAGAACGGCTCAGTGTTGGATGCATATGATGTTGTTCTTGTTAGGAGCCTTGTGGCGGATGTCTGGACTAGTCTGAGTTAAGCTGGAGCAGACTGGCTGAAGCAGGAAGAGATGCCAAAAAACAGCAGTGGAGCTTTCTGGGAGTTTTCCCAAATCCTAAGGTTCAGTGATGTGCCTGAGTTTGGCAGTATTTATTTATTTATCCAAAAAACGGCAAAACCGAGCGACTAATTTTGACGTGGGGATCAAAATCCGCTGCAAGGTGGCTCGGTGGTTAGCACTGTTGCCTCGCAGCAAGAAGGTCGCTGGTTCGTGTCCCGGTGAGGACACCCGGGATCTTTCTGTGTGGAGTCTCCATGTTCTCCCCGTGCAGCGTGGGTTCTCTCCGGGTTCTCCGGCTTCCTCCCACAGTCCAGAAACATGCTGAGGTTAATTGGTGATTGTAAATTGTCCGTAGGTGTGAATGTGAGTGTGCTTGGTTGTCTGTCTCTAAGTGTAGCCCTGTGATAGACTGGTTACCTGTCCAGGTGAACCTGCCTTCACCCTGAGTCAGCTGGGATAGACTCCAGCCCCCCATGACCCTAATGAGGATTAAGGTGTAGAGATGATGGATGGATGGATGATTTTATAAATGATTGAAGATTCTAATTTCTTTTTTCTTTTCAGTGATGAAATGGAGAAGATCAAAATCCCTAAAGACATGGACGACGCCAAAGCCTTGGGAACCGTGTTGTCCAAGTACAAAGACACCTACTACTCCCAGGTGTTGGTGGCCTACTTTGCAACATACGTGTTGTATCCTTTGACATGCACCTTTTGGAAAAGTATAACTTAGTTTTGAGCTGACATTCAGATCTGAGACATTTTGGTTTGCAGCGCCGGGTTGTAGTAGTGATTCAGTTCATTTCCAGTTACTGTGGTCAGCATTTTACAAAGTAGGAGAGTTTTCTCAGCAGATTTTTTCATCCAAAATATTTTATCAGCTGCAGATTCTTGATCTTTGAACGCCACAGTGAGCAACACACTGACTGCAGCGTCATCAGTTGTTTCCTTGTTTTAGTCATTCTGCTGGCATTCTGTGGGCTAACAAAACCTGTCCAGTAGCATCCTCGTCAGAAACAAACCAGCATCTGATAGAAACAAGTATCGGGTCTAAATCTGCTGAATCAACGCGGGCTAATTAAACTTTGTCATACCGTATCATGAGTCAAGTGTATGTGAGCACTGCCTGATGTATGCAGACAGCCAAATCTTGAGCTGATCAGAGTCTAGATTAAAGATAACCGGTTATGTTTGGCCAAGCCCTCCATGATGACTACCAACAGGAAGTAGAACTAGTTGGAGAAACACTGAACATTTCAGGAAGAAGCATCCCTTCTTTGTCTTTTTCTCATCTTAAAATGCACTTTATCAAATGAAATATTCAACAAAAGGACCAGCCGGCCAGAGTGCTTGGAGGAATACGCCTGTTTTATTAAACATGACTGTGTGATGTCTGTATTTCTTTGCAAAGCCGTTCACCTTGACGCTTTTATCAGCCTCCAGACGTTTGCAATCCCTGGATCGATCTTCCTTAGCATCCTGTCTGGATATCTTTACCCTTTCCCCCTGGCTCTTTTCTTAGTCTGCTTGGTGAGTAAGAACAGTATGAAATGTGAGATTAAAAGCAAATGTTGTATTGTATAATAAACTCTGCACTAAACTATTCCCATGACACATGCTTAGACATGTAAGGATTTGAGTTTACGTTGCGCCGAAGCACAACAGGCAGCAGGAAAACACAGCAACCCACACACAGGCCTTATTGATTGGTTTAAAAAGTCTCTTAAAGTTTCCACCATTCCTGACTGACCTTTAGCTGTACAATTAAGGCTAATAATAGGTGTTCAGTGTGCTACTGATTTTCCTATTGTTGAGGTGACGTTGCCATCAAAAACAATATGTTCAGTTCCTCACACGCTGGCAGTTCAGTTGACTTGTGTTTGCTCTCGCAGCCAACAGCAGAACATTTGGTGTGCTTTACTCATGGCTGAGGTATTTTAAAGTTAAACATAGAACGCAGATTTAACATCTTTGTGTTTTACAGCCTCTAGTTTACACCTCCAAGTTTTTATGACATACGAAACAGAATAAAAATGGATTTGCACCGTATGGCGCCTTGTGTTTTCAAAGAAAGATTCCACCGGGGAAATACGCAGACAGAGTCTGTCTGTGTGAAGTTTTTTATTGTATTATTTGTAACCACACTGTAATAACCAAGTCACCAGTTTGACCTCAGCGCCTCGATAAGCAGCACGTCATGTGGCTGTGTTGCGCCACAGTCAGCTGTGACCACTCTCGGTTTGAGTTTTTTCCTCTTTTCTGCAATGATTTTGTTTATGATCGTAAAAAATGTGATGCTTGCAGAAGCAGGTCTTTGCAGAGAAAAACTTTTTTTTCCCCCTTTTGCTTTGACAACAAGAGGAAGGGAGGTGGTCTAGGTGTGAAAACACCAAAAACCCACGGTCTCTTCTTTGAAATGCTTGACATGTTTTCTACATAACGCTACACTACTGCTGATAAAAGCTCAAATAAACCAGTCATGACAGTGGAGATAATGTTGGATTTTAGTGCTTTTTTATTTCTCTAGCTTTTTTTTGTACGATTACTAAACTATGAGAGTCATTTTTAGGGCAAATTACTGAGAATATGTGTGTGAAAGTAAGCTTTTTAGTTATGTATTTGTAATTTCAGCTACAAAATTGTGGTTGTCTTTTCTTTGTCATAAGTTTTAATCATTCACGGTGTGTTTTTTGTGTTGGCAGTGCTCTGGCCTGGGTGCTTCCTTCTGCTATATGCTGTCATATCTGGTGGGCAGACCCATGGTCTACAAATATCTCACAGAGAGAGCACAGAAATGGTCCCAGCAGGTGAGAGCTTTCACACAATATGGGATTTTTTTTTTCTTTTTTCTTTGAGATGTTTAGTTTCATCTTCTTTCCTTCTTTAAGTCATGCAGCTCAACACTGCACAGCCCACACTGGTGAAGCTCATCTTTACAGCTTTATGGAGAGCTGATGTAAAGACTGAAGTACTGGACTTGCAAAATGTTATATGAATTAAAAATAATTATTCAGATTTATATCGCACTTTACTAGACACTCAAAGATGCCTTACACTGTCAATTATTTGGCAAAGACTGGTGTGAAACTAGTAGTTTTATTCATTATCAGCTAATCTGATGATTATTTTCTTGCAAAATAATAATACATTTATTAAAGCTGCAGTTCTGAATCCATATATGATAGGAAAAGTAGCACAACATTGTTTAAAAAATAACAAAAACAGTGAATCTGTCAAAATTAGAATGATTATAATTCTTTTAAAGGACCGAGCAGTTGATCAACTAATCCTTGGATCTATGACACCGCCATCGTTAGTGGTGTTGTGGTATTTAAGGACTAAAGTAAAGGGAGTAATCGCTCTCTGATCTTCCTGTTGTTCCACAATACAACCGTCCTCTGACACTGTAAATGTTCACAGACTGAATTGTTTATAGCTGATGTGTTGGATCCCAGTATAACTTCAGAAACATTCTTCTCATGACTTCTTGCTGGCAGGTCGACAAACACAGAGACCATTTAATCAATTACATCATCTTCCTGAGGATAACCCCCTTTCTTCCCAACTGGTTCATCAACATCACCTCGCCTGTCATTAACGTGCCTTTGGGGGTTTTCTTCATTGGCACCTTTCTCGGTAAGACCATCCGTCCCTTCTGTTGTGTTTTATTTTGGTGTTTCTTGTCGCCTCTGACTCACTTGCGTCCAACACGGCTGATTGACAGGAGTGGCGCCGCCGTCCTTCGTAGCGATCAACGCAGGCACGACGCTGTACAAACTGACCACGGCTGGCGAGGCCGTGTCCTGGAACTCCCTGGCCGTGCTGGGCGTGCTCGCCGTGCTCTCGATCTTGCCCGTCTGCTTCCAGAAAAAGCTGCAGCAGAAACTGGAGTAGAACATTAAACACCTCAGCACCTCATCCGCTGGCCGATCCCGACATCCCCTTCCCTCGGCTCAGGAACGCACAGCTGTCACTCAGGCTGCTCCGCCTCGGCCTCGTACGCAGCTGCTGCTGCTGCTGGGCTGTCGGTGGAGGAATCTCTGGGCCCCGGCACAGCAAACACTCATCGACCACAAAATGCATGCAGTGGTGGGTTGTTCCTGGTGTTAATACAAGTGTAAACTGGCCGCTGCTTGCACAGGTCTTTTCTTTTTTTGGTTTCTGTGACTCGTGTTGTTAATTGTGGCACATCTTGTAAATAAGAGGAATTTTTTGTTGTTGTTTTTATTTAAGGCACTGCTCATTATTATGTGATTTCTTGACAGATGGTTAAAGGTGCTACTTGTAGGATCTTTCTTCATCGTGCGGTTGTTCCGACTTTAATAGCCAACTTTTCTTTGGGAATATACTGTTTTCTTTCTAGGAACTGAAATCATCAGTACCTGGTCAAGGGGAACTATAAACATTCTTCTTTTTCATTACTGGAACAACAGTTACATTTGCTTTCATATCACGTACTCATCCTGTTGGTAGCACCTTTAACTCCCTTTTTAATATTTATTTTTACATGCTTCTGTCTAGTCTCGACTTACTGAACTGTACCACAACAGCAATAACCGTCACACTACTGTTGAGAGAGGACTTTAGTTTTTAAAAGTACATTTTGATACCTGGTGCTCGCCTTGGCACTCATATGCAGTGTGAGGGGAAAATGTGTCGAAGACAAACGTCACGAGTGAGATCAGTGAGTTCAGCCGTTGTTGGCGTGTGGATGAGTTCCCACGTTCTTCCTCAAAAGGTGCCTGGATCCACTGCCGCACAATAAGCCCTTTTTCCTTTTCACCAGTCTCTGTCCGTGTATGTCCGTAGCCTGAAGCAGCACTTTGCTACTGCGACTTGTAAATAACAGACTAAGCTGATGTAATGTTTCGTCAAAGGAGGATGTCAAAATCTGGTCTTTTCAAATTAACAAACAAATATAGATCGTGTAAATTTGCTGGTTTGAATGATGTAAGATGCCCGCAAACCAGATCATTGGGCGAAATGCGAGACGTTCATCTTGTGAGATGGGTTCTCAAGTTTGGGATGAAGCGACGATAACGCACTTCTATGTATGTGATTATGTATGTTCACGTCTGCCCCGTGATGTTTGATGTACCAGTACAGAACCGGGGCTGTTGTCTGCAGATGACACCCCGGTGCCCCTGATGAGACTGCCAACAGACTGTGAGGTATCCAAGCCTGGCCTTGCTTTTATTACTTCCGTGCTCTTCCGGGGGGGAAACGTATTATGATGCCTGATTTTTATGTTGCAAGTTTGTGTTCTTTAAATGGTTTGCTAATTGTGTCCAGTGATATGAAAGCTTACTGATTTGTTTTTTTGTCATTTGGATGTGTTGCCTGTGTACTTTGGCGACTTAATGCTGCTGCTGCTGCTTACAAACCTTCTGGATGGCTACCAGAGACACTGATGCAGTGAATGTAGATGCAGGTAACAGATCTTAAACAACACACCTATCTATATAGTCTCTTAAAACTGCACACTTAGAGGTAGTTGTGCTTGTTGGGATTTTTTCCTTCATGTCTTAATACACAACGGATTTACTGTGTGAGATTATCAGCCTCTAAAACCCACGATAGAAATAACCACGTAAACATCAATTTATATAAAAGCAGGAAACAGCGCTACACCAGTCGGGCTGTTTTCATGGTTCCTGCTGCATTTGCTGCATTCGTACATCTACAAAACACCGTTGTCCTGGAAAATTGACCTTAAGTAGGCGCTTAGGTATCATGGTGAAATGTTATAATCCTAACAATGTTAATTTTTGTCCTCCTGTTAAAATGGGAATTATGGTTTAACTTAAATCTGCCAAGAAATGAAAGCCAGTAGATTTTAATCGATTTTCTATTCGCTAAACCTTATGCCTGTTCAAAAGTTCACACTCAAATTGGATGTGATTTAGTCGTTTTTCTTCCTGTTATCCAATCAGAGAAGTGAGATTGCGTGACCCTCTGCTAACATTTCAAAAGGCAGTATTATTCTGTACTGAGCAGTGATGTATTGCAGTATGAAGTGTTTACAGATTTCTGTCCTACCTAATCCAACTTGTTTTTTGTTTTTTATATTTATTGAATCATTAAAGTTTTCTTTACAGAGTATGAGTGAGTTCTGCGAATGATCTGTAAAGAGCACATGTTTAATTATTGATGATAAATATAGAATTCTTCACATGTGGGGTTCCTTTGTTGTTATTTATTGCGCTGGTGAACATATTTGTGTCTCATTTGCTGAATTGGAAGATATATCATGAAAAAAAAAGCATTTGCTGCTGTAGTCTAAACAGTTGCTAAGTTAAAGCTGTAGTCTCAGTATTTTATTTTTAATTTTTATAAAAAACACATGCAGGAGGAGGATTTGGCGCCACCAGGTGGTGACACTGTAACATACCTGCAGAGCAGCAGTCTGGATCATATAACTTTAATCCATATGTAGTGTGTGCAGCAGTGCTTCTGAACTGCGTTAATCAGAGGAAAAAAATGTCTGAGCATAGAAAGAAATGACAGCACCACAGTCTGGCTTAATGGTGAAAAAATTTGATCTGGGTTTCTACAGAGGGCTCTGTTTTTCTTTGATGCCTGCTGGTGGAATGAGCAGCATAATAGTGGAATAAAACCTATTTTGGGATGGTATTTTTTATTTTTTTATAACAAGAAATTCAGATAATTTGGGGAATTACATTTTTTTGTTTGTTTGAACCTTTTAAAATGGTAGTGAAGTGTGGAGCTGATGTTTGTTCGACAACACATGCAGATGAAATGAACAAAAAAAATCATTAAAAATGCAGCTTTAACACAAAGTCTTCCTGAATTAACAGCTCCTGTTATGCTGTATTATAACGCTATTTTACAGATGTATTCTAATTAGAGGATATTACCAACATTCTCTCAATAATGGTCCCAAAACAAATGCAGAACCTTCATGTGTTGTATAAAATCAGAGTAAAATTCTGATGCCTCTGTAGAATTAAAACTAATCCATTACCTCCATGTGCTTCAGGAAACAGAATCTAAAACTATTTCCACTGCACAAAATAACAGTATTGCACCTATAGCTCTTGAGTATTTTAAGAATAATCCCTTTCAGCTTCATGCACAGGCAGATCATTACAGCTGTGGTGCTGCCTGTGGCCCATGATGCATTTCGACTGCAACGCTCTGATTTTTCTGGTGCGTCAAGTCAGAAATAGTTAGGGTCAACCCGGAACTTTCTGTTCTTCTTTTTTCCTGTGTAAAGAACATTACCTTGGAACATTTCTTTGGTCTCAGCAACAACAACAACAACAAAACAGAAGAATCAGTGGTAGAGTTAATTACTTTGAACTGACATCAGAACTGCAGCAATGAAAGACGAAACGGAATAATTTTGGTCTTAAAATGTAATTATTGTGCAAATTATTGTGGAACTACAGCTGATTTATTTATTTATTTTACACTTAAACAACTACAGAATCATTTATATGCATACATCTTACCTATAAGCCAGGGTGACAGTGAAGTGTGAATTACAGTCTTTATATATAAAGTACATAACATACAGTGTGCATGACTGTAAAGGATTTAAAACATTAAAACATTATACATTTCTTAATATTGTAGCAGTTATAATAGTTCAATGTTAGTAGAATTGATTTCCCCCGCACACAGTATAATTTTATTTGCTGTTTTTCATATTCATATGTTCCTATATAATATTCTTTATTTAGTAATTTGTGTTTTACGAATCCCCTCCTGTACTTTTTAAGAGTCATTCGCAGGTAACTCGTCAGACATTAAATGACAGGCAGGATTTATGAGGAGAATTTCGTGTAGTTTGGTGTAAAACAATATTTTTTAAACTCTCGCAGTCGAATGGCGTTTTATTCTGAAGGACGTCTTATTGTGAAGGGGCTCGGGCTGGGTGCGCCGCCTCCGTCGCCGCTAGCTTGACCGGTTAGCAGCTCGGTGTCGGTAGTGATTTTCGAGCTTCGCAGTAACGTATCCTCCGTAATGGCAGGGAGAAGTCGCTTCTCCGAGCTCCTTTAATATGCTCCCTGTCCAGGGCACAAGGGCACCACCGGACCAGTCTCAGAATGACCACCGGCTTCAGCTCCGGTTCCTGCCGGTTCGCAGATTATTTTGTGATCTGCGGACTCGACACCGAAAGCGGGCTGGAACCCGACGAACTGTCCGGTAAGCACATTAGCCATCAGCGGGGGGAAATGTCGGAGCTGATGCTGGGGTGGAGGGGGGGCAAATAACCGAGGAAGGGCCGTTTTAACACCGGCCCGGGGTCGTTGTTTAGCCTCCCGTGTGTCGTTACGTGCGTGTATTTGGTGAACCGGTGTAACGTGTCGTGTGTTTTACTGAGATGGAAGCAGCGGGCAGACCGCCGGGCCTAGCTCCTCTCCTCTCAGCCTCTTGTTTGTGCTGCTCGGTGGGAAGCGGAGGGGATTACTGGCTTGTTGTAGCGCACTGACATGCATTTAAATTCAAAGCTTGTCCATTATTCACCTCGTTGTTTTTACCCTCCGCCTATGTGGAGGTGTTTTAATGTTGCGCAGTGCTACATATTTTACGGGAGCAACACTTTGAGGTTCATCCAGGCGTTGCTGTTGTGACACTGCTGATGATCAGGTTGTCATACTAACTAGTCACTGTCATGTAGAGGGGATCACCTATCAAGGTAGCAACACACACACACACACAATTGGTTTACCTGTTCAATATCCCCCCGGGGCAAAACTCCATCATGCCCCCTCTCCTGGACCTCTGACATCCTCAGCATCCAGCAGAGATCCCCTCAGTGCCTGACCTCCTCAGAGGGCACACCCTTCCCTTCACCAACAACCACATAAATACACATCTAAATGCTAGCACAATAGGCTGTGGCACACCTGGATCCTGTTTGTTCGAGCCTGTACCTGCAGAGGGTCTGCAAATAGGTTTCCAAAGTGTGGTCGAAGGTTTCCTGGAACAACGTCTGGGTCCTGATGTGACCCGTTTGAGATGACAGCATGGCAACGCCGCTGTTTTTCCTCTCACGCTGAATGCCAAATCAGGAGATGCATCAATTGTGCAGGATTACAATCAGAAAATATGTTGGTAGGGCGATGTATGACAGTATAATATCACTGTGCCTGTAAGGATGTTGTCATGTTTTGTTGTTTTTGTACCAATGCGTAGCCTGTCTTACACTGATATTTAGATAGCATCTGTAAAAGGTTTCTCTATATTATTTCCAGGAAATGTTATTGATTCATGACACAAATTGATATTGTGATGTGAAATGCGACACGCTGCCTGCTCATTCTGATATTACAAATATTCTCTGACGATTATACATTGATGTGATGTGTCTTTAAGTCTAGATCTGACTGTAGGTCTGGACTGGTGGGGTTTTTCAGAAGCCTACTTGTTTTGCATTGCCAGCCACAGATATTTAGTGATGAGCTCAATTCAGGCACATATGAAAACATGTAAATGTGTGGTCACTCTCAATATGTAGCTGCAATGTGAAAAGAACAGCTTTAGAAGTTAGATCATTGTCAGATTTTGCTAGAAATGTAATCGTCTACATTTATATTGATTGTTTAAATGAGTAAAATGATCATCCTGAGCATTCTAGGTTTTGGAATCGGAAGTTGTGTGGAGCTTAGTTTGCTATAAAAAGAGTCACGGTTAGAAAAAGTGATGCAATAATTAATACTCTCGAGTCTTTGTCACCTACGGGAGTCGTACCGAAACCAATATATCAGTGGAGCCGCTGAAAAACAGCGTTTCGTCTTTTGATAAGAGATCAGTGCTGGTGAGAGTTTGTGAGTTATCAGGCAGCTCCATCGCTTCCCTCCGTGCGGTTGTGTCCGTTTCCCACAGTGCTGCCTCTGCTAACGTGCCTGGGGAAGCCCTAAGTGTTGACAGGAACAAACAAATTAACTCAAATTATGTCCTAAGCGCTGCGTTTTGCATTTAAATGCCCTATTATAGAGAGTAACAGAGTTAACAACATATTCGGTTTTGTCACTCGTGCTGCACTCGGGCTCACGTTGGCGGTTGTTGTGATTCAGACGGGAGCGTAAATCGACTAACGTGAACTATCTTTAAGCTGGTTGGGAGTAACTGCTAAGCCCTCGTTAACTGGGCCAAGGCTCCTTCTGGCTTCGGACAACAATCCAATTAATTCGGCCATTTTCCTGGATTTTTTAAAACGACAAACTACGACTTGCATTGAAAGAGGGTCGACTTCAGTGAAGAATTGGTTTGATCTCTTCTCTATTTACTTTCTGTCCCAGATTGGTGTGATTTATTGTGACTCAGCAGACAGCGAGAGGCCGGTGGAGCTGCTGAATGAAAGTTCTCTCCTCCTCAAAGCAATGACCTAACCAAAAATCCTTTTTTTTTTCGTTTTCAAAGACTCAGCCCCTGTGCTTCCTATTTTTACTTCCTCTAACTCAGTTCCTCTTTACAGCTTTAGCACGAATTCACGTGGAATTTATGAAATTAATAAAAAAAATGCACTTTTCTGTTCAAAACAAAAGAACATGAAGCCGACCAGACTCAGAAAATGATGCAGTTTAATCTGAACAAGCGAGTCGATTGGAGGTGGAGCTTTTCTAAAACACTCAAGAGAGCGAACGCTGTGAAAATGTCAGCCTTGCATTAGCGTTGAGAGAAAAAAAAAAAGCTTGTGTGAGCTCTCCAACGTGTAGTTTGGTGCCATTGTGTAGCAGCAAAATGAATGTGACAAGTTCTTATTGTGTGGCTGATTAGACAGCTGTGTTGTTTGTCACTCAACTCTCAAAAATTATCGTCAGCGTGAACACCGTGCACGTATTTTACACATGCATAGGAAATAAATAGACTTTTTAAAATACACTAAAGCAGCAGCAGTTTGTGTTGCAGTCGCAGAATCATCGCGAATCACCCTTCAGGTTTAATTCAAGGCGTGGTGCTTTTTTGTCTTGCGTGTGATAAGATTTCTTTTAAGCCTCTCGTACAAGACAGAAACGTAACCCACTGAAACTTTGCACAGATGTACGAGCCGGGGCTCTGAGGTCGGACGGCCCCGGTGCTGCTCTACTTTTACTGCTGCTGTTTACTGTAGAAGCAGGTTAGGGGCTTGCCCTTATCGGTGTTGAGCTGAAGAGAGGAAATGCTGTGGAAATTCCATTGTTACAGGTTATTTCAGATAAATGTCTGCTATAGGTGTATGAAGAAGTACTAATGACTGGTTTGATCGTTGAGTCATATCAGAAATGTTCAGAAAATGCCCATTAGTGTTTCTGAAAGGCCAAAATGAAAACCTCAAAGGTCTTGTTGTGTCCACAGATGTTCAGTTAGGCTCCCAGAGGAATCAAGACACCAACTCTCAAACTGATAAATCAATTAGTGACTGTTTTATTGCGATTCTACCTAAAAAGTTTAAATTTTTATTGTATTAGTCAGACATGATAACGGAAAATTAACAGACGTCTTTTATCAGATTTAGTCGTATCGGTTGTCACAGAAACCTCCTGAACCTTATCAGCACGAAATCAAAAATTACTTTCTGTGTTTTTCGAAAGTCGGTAAAGTTTCTGGTGTCACTGTGGTCAGAGCGGCGGAGGAGGCAGCAGGTGGGAAATTCACAAGTCATTTGATTTGTTCAGTCAAGTCATCACTTCTAGTTTTGCTCATGACACCAAAGTTAGATGTCAATTAACCGCTCTGATAATCAATCAGTTGTTTTAGTGACGCTTCAAGTAGAAATGTTCGTGTTTTAATAGGTTCTGGTTTATCAGATATGAATATTTATTCGCATTTAAGGGGAAAACAGCATCCGAATCAATAATCTTTTGAGTTTTTCTCCGACTTCTGTGCACAAAACAACTATTTCAGAGAAAAGCAGCAGCAGCCCAGTCGATATAAACATAATCTGGAGTTGGTTTGAACTGTTATTTCTAAACAAATGCTTCATTCAGCTGCAACCACAGAACAGTTTTGAGCAAGATAACAGAAAAATAAAATGACCAAACAGCAGAGAGGTAGCGCAGCTTTATCTCACTGATCCGAAACAACAGATGGCAGGAATGGTAACCTTGGAGTTTTTAACTCTGTTGGTAATTATCGTAATCGCTTAGACATGACACACACATATAATGATTTGTAAATGGCCTAAAGTGGCCTCGCCTCAAACTCTGCCGACTAAACTGGTTGATGGATCAGCGAGTGAAATGAGCGAGTCGAGTACAGTATGTTCCTCACTTCTAATATGATGCAGCAGTGATCCGTGTTCAGCGCAACACAAAGCGGTGACCAAAACTTTCTCTGAGCACAGCGCAGACCTGATTAGCATATGTATGACCCCGCAGCCTCGCGGGCGACACTGGAAACACAGGGAGCCCAGGGATATAAGTACACTCGCAGACAGGCTCCACTTATTCAAATGCTAAATATCCTTTTGAATCTCCCAGGCAGCCTCTCTCCCCCAAATCCTACTCAGCAAACAAATGAGGATGAATGGCTCGACATGAAAGCTAGCTTTAAATGCATAATGTGCTCTTTCATATTTTCACTCAGACTTGTTTATTTATGGGCCTGTAACAGATCTGTATTTTTTTTTTTTTAATATTTGAAAATGTGAAATTTTGGATGCACTTTGAAGATGCGTTAGACGTTTCGACGATCCTTTGAAGGCGAAGTATGTCTCCATCTACACCCAGAACTAATACAAGCTCAGGATCTGTCCATAAGTGAGCTCATGGAAGCTGTTTCTAACATTTGGTTTTATCTTAACTAGAACTATTATTTTCTTAGTTAATTAACTCATCAGACAGCTCCAAAGTGGAAGGGATTATTGCAGGTTTCAGAACTAAACGTCCACTTAATTTTTGCCCTGCAGACAGTTTCACATATCTCATAGTTTGATAGCATGAAACTCATTCGACTAAATCATCTGTAGATAAAAAAAAAAAAACTGGGGTTGATTCTTTGACAAGCTCTTGCAGGTTTCAAGCCTGTGCAAGTTAACTGCGACCCCCGCGGTGCAATTCAGCAAGAAACGTCCAATCGCCGAGCCTGAAATGAAGTGAACCGCACCACTAATGACGGGCAAAAGCTGAGGCGTCTGGAGCTGATGGAGCTGACGCCGCAATCTGCAGCTTAAATTGACTTAATTTTCGATTCGTGGTCAATTTTGGATGAACTGTGCAGCT